TGGTCTGTGCTTGACTTTCAGCCTCAGCACTTATTCATTGTGTATCTTCAGCAAATGACTGACTTAAAGTCTCCGTGCCTCAGTTTTCTCTTCTCATCTATAAATCAGGGATGCTAATAGTATCGGGTTATGGTGACGATCTTATGGTAAAACACTTAGAACCACTTCTGGTGCAAAGTATGATATAAGGGTTAGCTAGGACTCCTGGTGTGGCGCTGTGGGCTAATATGTCAGACTGCAAAGTTGTTTGAACAGCAAGGTGGGTGGTTCAAGCTCATCACTATAATTTGACATCTGTTTCCTTCAATCTGCTTCTTACATGTTTGCGTAATATCCTTTATATCTCAGAAGAGATTGACTTAAAACATCCCCTCCTCTAATCCTAAGGAATTCTGGTAGCATAGTGGTTGTAAATTGGGCTGCAAACCTCAAGGTCAGCAGTTCAAAACTACCAGCTGTTCTGCAGGAGAAAGATGAGGCTTTCTGCTCCCGTAAAGATTTATAGCCTCGGAAACCCTGTACAAGGTCGCTATGAGTTGGAACCGACTCCATGACACATAACCACCACTACCACCATCACTCCAATCCTAGGAGTCCTGTTGTGGCACTGTACAATAAGCACTGAACTACTAACCACGCAGCATTTCAAACCCACCAACCACTCCTCAGGAACCCTACATGGGGTCGTTGTGAGCCAGAACTGACTCAATGGTACTTAACAACAATGACAATAAAACCCAGTAACCTTCTCACTACCAAAGTCAATCCACTCCTAGGTAGGATTATAACCATAGGAATAGGGGTTAGGATTTAGAACACATTTGCAATCTGAAACACCACCATTCTTTATTAATTGAATTAAGCTGTTGTATAGTTTACAGAGTCCTGGTGTGGCGCAGTGGGTTAATGAGTCAGACTGCAAAGCCATTAAAACTGCAAGGTCAGCGGTTCAAGCTCACCAGCTGTTCCTCGGAAACCCTATACAGGGTCACTGTGGGTCAGAATCAACTAGACAGCACTTAACAACAACAATGACAATAGTTTACAGATAATTTCATAAATTGTTTTGGTCCAAAGTTTTGGTCCAAAGATTAAAGATTATTTGTGGACAATAGATTTTGGGATTCCCCTAGTCACAAAGGATCCAGTAAGTCTGTTTCCACAGAAATTTGATGCTCGGTCCTACATTTTTTCTCCTTTTGATAAGAATTCACCTACTCGGCACCATCCACTTCTTTTGGACTCATGCATAGGAAGTAGTAATTTGTGGGAGATTTCTGATTTTAATTCTAGTGGACATGATATTTGGTTAAATAGGAATTTAAGCGGCACAGTTAATTGTTTATTTACATGTGAATCACAGGTTAGCCTTCTGGGTGGTCGTGTGCCCCTGACAGTCATCCTGCTTTACTGTGGGTCCTATCACCAGCTAGATACTCGGTGCATTAGGGTTTTAAAAGGCAATCCTCTCCCTGCCCCTCCCTTTTAGATTAGCCCACAAAATTGGTCTTCTCTGCTTAGGGTCACACCAAACAGTATATAGCTGGAAAAAAGGGGAGAACATCTTGAGACAAAACTAATGATGTTTTAAGTGACTCAAGCACAAAATCAGGGCATCAGTTCTGCCAATAGATTAAAAATATGAGCTTTCAAATCAGATATACGTGGAAGTCTCCCAGCTATGTTATTTAAAGCAAATAACCTAATGTATGTGAACTTTAGTTTCTTTTCAGTAAAATTAACAATAATAGTATTGGTCTCATGAAATTACTATAAGTGCAACAAGAAAAAGTGGTGCTAACGCCAGGTACATATAAAGTGGTGCTCACGCCAGGTACATATAAAGCACTCAGGAAAGACGTGTTAACTACTGTTGTACTATCATAGTTCTGGTTCCCAAAATTCAGCTTCATAATTCCTGTGGCTGCAAGGGGAATGATCCCCTAGAATTAGCTTTAAATTACTCCATCCCTTCAAAAAAAAAAAAAGGCTCAGTAAAAACATAAATTCTTATAAAGGAAAAGAAGATGTTTAGAAGGGTTAATGTGATCTTCATTTCATTTGAATCATAAAAATACCTCAGCACAGTATGAATTTTATATATGTGTTTTATTCTCAGAGTTCTCTCTTATACTGCAGTAGTGTAAAGTAGTTATTCCCACTTTGCAGATGAAGACACTGAGGCTCAGATAAGATTCATTCTGTGGAAGAATCCCCCACTACAATGCAGGCATGGAAACTCTTGGTGTCCTGGATTTCATGTTTTAGGATGTTCCAATAGTAAGTAGTGGCATTAACTTTCCACAAGGGGGCGCACATCATGACATGGGTGCTTTTCTGCAGTATTTGAGAGGCCTAAAGTAATTTTCCAAAAAAAGAGAATGTTTTCTAAGTAAAAATAGTATATTTTCCAAATAACTATACAAATTTAAAGCATCTTCCTTAGAAGCTTTTCCATTATGACCCCACAGCCTCTCCTGTGTAGAAACTGTGGAATCCACACTATACTTGAGAAAACAAACAGGGAGTTAAGCAATTTTCAAATATACTTCTGGTGGCTCTGATCCACCCCTTTAGCTGAGACCCCTTCACTAAGCCAAGATGCAAAAAAGCAGACGTGTGTCATTGGACTTGATGGTGTATGATCTCTCCTATAGTAGGCAGGACCAACACTCAACTCAGCATCAGGAACACTGCTTTAAGTAAGGCCCGGCACCTGATTTGGGAAAAGCAGGGCTGTGGAGCAGATACTAAGCCATGGGGGTTCCTGTCTAGGAGGCTCTCAGGCCCCCAGGGGTCTTATCTGAAACACATGTTCTAAGAACAAAACTCACTTTTCAGGAGCTGCCTCAAGAACTCTGGTAGCATAGTGGTTACAAATCGGGCTGCAAACCTTAAGGTCAGTCAGCAGTTTGAAACTACCAGCTGTTCCATGGGAGAAAGATGAAGCTTTCTGTTCCTGTAAAGATTTACAGCCTCGGAAACCCTGTACAGAGTCGCTATGGGTCGGAATCAACTCGACAGCACTTAACAGCAGCAAGAGCCTCAAAAAAGCCACCTGTTTTGTCTTGCCTACGGACTTTTAAAGGAGCTCTGGTAGCGTAGTGATTACGGGTCAGGCTGCTAACCTCAGGGTCAGTTTGAAACTACCAGCTGTTCCACAGAAGAAAGATGAGGCTTTCTGCTCCCGCAAAGATATACAGCCTTGGAAACCCTATGCATGGTCGCTACAAGTTGGAACCGACTCCACGGCATACGACCACCACGTTGACTTTCAAAGACATAGTCACTTTCTTCCTCTTTCGGGTGAGTGATATTTTTTGGCCTTTTTGCTAAGTTACTAAAATTGATATCAAGGCCAGGAAGACAGTAAGGGACACAGTAGAGGACAGTGGTTGAGATTAAAATGATCAGCCGTTTGTCCCCCCTGATAATTTATATTAAGTGGTACAAGCTGAACAGGACCTCAAGAGTTTATATATAGTCCAAACTACACTCTTGTCACACACACCCCACCTGCCCCTTGCCACACAAATCAAAACAAACTTAAGCTCAGAAAACTGTTTTCTGCTGACTTGTGTTAATCATCAAGCCAAAGCAAATAGACTTCCGGATCCAGGGTGGCAATTAAATATGAAGACAAGACAAATCCTCTAGACAAATAAGAAAAAAGAACAAAACAAAACAGACCCCAAAGAACTTTTTACATTTTTTTCTAGACCAGGAGGTGTACCTGTGAGCTGCAACAGCTGTCCCAAGCAGGACAGTTGGTTTCCCAACTTTGAACTGTCTCAGTTTCACACACCAGCCCTGTCACTTGGTGAGCAGGAAATTGATTTATGTCATTTGTTTAGGACTTCAGCTAACCACCAGTTTACAAAGTTTCTGTTGAAATTGTTTCAGCTTCTGGGGATTCATTTATTCATTCACTCTGTCAGAATGCATATCACTGAGCAGGTAGACTCAAAGGAGCCCCACATCGGAGGAAAGAATCCAGACAACCCAATCTCAAATTAGGGGGAAGCTGGGTCAGTAGATAAAATAATACAGGATTATCGCTGACAGAGGATGTACACAGTGCTGAGGAGCAGAGAGCCACGGGAACATTGTATCAGCAACGGGAAGGAGAAACAATTAAAGGTTTACTTCTCCCCCACACATCCACAAACATAGGAAACATTCTATTCATATTCAATCATTAGGGGATCAGGATCCTCTGAGGCCTCAAGAGAGAAGTTTCTAAGGCGTCTTACAAACAGGAGAAACTGTTTATAAATGCAAAGTTGTTTCCACTTGATTTGAAAACAAGCCATGAAAATGCGGGAAGGAAAATAACAAAACAAAATCACTTCTCCAGCCTTACACCCAGAGCAACCTGGAATCCAGACTGAGCAGGAGGCACCCCGCAGGACAAGTGAACTGGTGCAGATGACGGCTACATAGTCCCAGCCCTTGGGCCAACTCCTTTAGCGTAAACCCAGTGGCCAATTGGCAGAAAAGATGTGAAGAGTGGTTGGAATTTTAGCATTCAAATATTGCCACCTCTCTCTGGCCCTTTTTGTGACTTTTGGCTGGGTGACCCAGACTTTTCAGGGGGGAAATTTTTGTCAAAGGGGAGAAATTGGGCCCGCTTTGCTGCATGGGTCAGTATGTTTGAGTCTACCCGTCATCTCTGGTTCCAGTTCCCAATCTTATGCTACACTTGGCTTAATCGCAGGTACAATAAAACACCATTCATGAAGCACCCCACCGGTGTGTGACAGGTAGTCAGAACGCAATAAACTCGGTCTGCCTTGCCTTGTACAAGCACACACATCTCTAGGGTCAAAACGTCACCTCTCATGGAACCGGAGAAGCTGGCCCCAGGTGGGTAAAAGTTGCCAAAACTCCTGGCCACCTTCCCTCTCCATGTCCTAGGGGTGGGAGGGCCCGTGGGTGGTGTGAGCGTGCAGGTGGGTGTGTGCGCGCCCAGGAAGTCCCACGACGCGTTAACCCCTTACCTTCCAACAACACCTCTTTGCCAGCGCGCTTCAGCGCCTGCACCGCCTCGTCGTGGGTGGCGTCCCGCAGGTCTGCTCCGTTCACCGACAGGATGGCGTCGCCCACGTAGAGGGCTTGGGTCTGGTCTGCCGCCAGCCCCTTGAAAATCTTGCTGATGAGGATGGGCATTTTATTCTCCTTGCCCCCCTTGATGCTGATGCCCAGCCCGCCTAGCTCCTGCTTCAGCACCTTCACGCCGCGCTTCTGGTTCGAGATGGCCTCAGGCACCTGCTCCGGCAGGTCGGTGAAGGCTGTGCGGACCTTGGTAGGTGAGTCCGGGGGCTGCGCGCCGCCCGCGCCCGGGGAACCAGCGCCCCTGCAGAACGAGCCATTGGTGGCGGTCCCGAGGCCGTTGTACGCCGCTGCGTTCTCCTCGCAACTCAGTACCAGAGCGTCCTCGCTCAAGTTCACCAGAACTTTGTGCCAGCGATCCCGCACCAAAACTTCCAGTAGCCCGCTCCGCTGCGTCCGGGCGCCTCCCGCGCCTGTCGGTCCCGCCGCCGCCGCTGCCGCTACCGCCATCTTTCCGGCATTCTTAAAATGCCATGTGATTGCAAAGGGTGGAAAAGTGGGGAAGGGTGGAGCGGGGGCTGGACGCGGAGCCCCGAGGAGCGCGGAGGGCGCGCCCGGGGCCAGGAGGCGGGACGCGGCGTTTAGCTCTTGGAGCTCGCAGACGCGCTCGGCGCGCCTTGGCCACCGCAACCGGCCTCGCTCCCCCTCGCCGGATCCTGGGCGGGGTGGAGCCACCTAAAAGAAGAAGGCGAGACCGTGACAGGAGAAAAAAAGAGCCGCTACCAATTGCAAAACCCCGAAGCGAGGGGCGCGCGACCCAGCGAAGAGCGCGCGGGCGGGGACAGTGGCCGGGGAGGCGCCCTGGCGGAAGGGCGGGGACGGCCCGGCGGCCGCTCACCTGTTCCAGCGCCGCAGTCCCGCGCTCGCAGCTGCCCGCCGGCTCCCACCCGGCCCGCCTTCTCCTCCGAGCGCGCTTCGCTGGGGAACCGCTTCCTTAACGCCTTCCTGGTCCCTCTCCTCTCCGCCCCGCCGCGCCTGTCTCCTCAACTCTCCCTTCTCCGCAGCCACCTCGCACCCTCGTCGGGTCCGTATGTCCTGTGTTACCACCTTCACGCCATTCCCGTAACACCCCCCCCCCCCACACACACCCCTTTTCTCACACCTTGGTGGAATTGTCCTTCAGTCCTTACCCCAAGTGTATCTGCACCCAAGTCTCTGCTCTCTGACTTTCCCTGGCCGAGGCTTCCCTACCTTGCCGAGTTCTTAACTGTCTCTCTTCTCTGCCCTAGGACTCCAGAGTAGGGCAGACAGAGACGGAGGCCCTGGACTCTCCTAGTTTAGCAAGAATCTGTCCCAAGAACCCAGAGGGAAACGTCAGCAGAATGGAGTGCCCTAAGCTTCCTCTCAGATGTGGGATAGCTTTCCTGCTAGGCCTTGGAGAGCTTCTTTGCTGGCCCTGGACTTCAACAGGCCACTGCCTGCCCCAGACCCTAGGGACAAAAGCTCTTGCAGCTTGAATATATTTTATATCTTTGCTACGTTTTTTTCCCAGGGCGACACCAAATGCTTTCTGAAGCTCCTAATTCTTCTGAGATCCAATTCAGGAAGTCCACCAATTGAAGAACTCAAAAGTTCTGTCTCAAAAGTTACTTGAACGGCTTCCTGTTTGGACTTCAACCTTCATCTCTCCAGGATAAAAAGTATTGTAAGTACTGGTTGCTTTCCCAAATCAACTCGGAAAAGTCAACATAACCGGCAGCTAACCTCCTAGTGCCCTCCTGGGAGGTCACAAGACTTTGACCCTCTCTGGTTCTCCACACACCCAAAGTAGGCCTGGTGGGCTCTACAAAGTACGTCTCACTTCTTATTTACCTCCCCTTCCTACCGTTCTCTCCCCTCAGTTCAAAAATAAAACCGAACTCACAGATCTGCCAATTCCTAAGGATTGAACCCAATGAAGCAAGGTGTCAGGAGGAAATGGTCCACACTCATAGTATCATCATCATCTTCATCATCAAACGTTCTCTTACTCTCCCAAGAATTATACTTTTAATCATGGATGCTTAAAATTCAGATGAATCTCAAGAGAATGAAGGTCCAGGGAAGACCACAGAACAAAATGAAAATATTTGGACTTGTTTTTTTTGAGCTAGAGAAATCATTGTAGACTGACCAGGAGGAGTCCTTGGATGACTGCTTCTGCTTGTTACTTTTTAACTCATTGGTTTAACAAAAGTCTTTATTCTTTCATACATTGGGACCTACAACAGAGACAGCAGGCTTCCAATTGCAGGACCAGCAGGGAACTGATCTAGGTGGGACCACTGTTCGGAGGGACAGTCCGTAGGGCTGGCCATCTGCTGTAGATGCCAACGACTCACAGGGAAATCAGCTGTCTTCTAACCAAAGCACACGAAGATGGAAGAAGATGGAAGAAGGTCAGTGTGCTGATTTAGAAATCAAAAGAGAACTGACCATGGACCAGAAATGCTCCATCAATACCATCCCTGCATCCTGTCCCTGTGGTCAAGTAGCAAAGGGGACGCAGGCACAACCAGAAGTAATTGATTGATATTTCCATAAGAAATTACAGACTCTGAGAGGGATATTCTCAGCATCTCTATGATTAGCACATTTCTTCCCCTGTGAAGCAAAGCTGCACAGTAAAGGGGCAGGTAGCCTGTTGAAAGTAGCATCTGAATGAGGAGATTCTTTAAATGATTAGGCCCGAGGCATACATTTTAGCCACCCATCGATGACTTTACCAATGGAATTATAATAACAGCCCTTGTTCAAGGTACTTTAAGTATATTAACTCACTTACTCCTCCAAGCAACCCAGGAGTATTCAGAGTCTTTACCACTCCATTTTGCAGGTGTAGAAATGGAGAAGTTTCATACTGGCCCCAGCATGAAGCAAAGCCAAGCTTAAAGCTAGTTCTTCTAACTCCAAAGTCTGAACTGTCACGACGGCCCTATGCTGTTTCTTAGATCACTCAGAACTAGTTAGCTACAGCCTTCGAGTTCATCTGCACACTGAGGCCAACCTTTATTATGGGGGCAAAGCGTGTATGGAAGAATAGAACCAGCAGGTTTTTCTGACCTTCTCTTCTTCTCACCAAGATTAGAGAAAACATTATTAACACATTATTTTCCTTTAGACATACTAATACATTGAAACTGGTGACTATTGTTTTTCTGGCCTAGAAACCCTGCCTTCGCCCTCCCTCAGACCACTCTGTATGTCTGACCTCTTATTATCAATGCTGTTGCTCAAACTGTGGCTCAGTGGGTTAATGTGCTGGACTGCAAAGTTGGCTTGAATTGTAAGGTCAGTGAGTCAAGCTCACCAGCTGCTCTTTGGAAACCCTATACAGGGTCACTATGAGTCAGAACTGACTCAATGGCACTTAACAACAACAACATCAGTGCTCAAAGAGAAATAGTATTTACCTCATTTCTGAGTTCTTGGGAATGAGGGGCTGTTTCCTGGTGGCCCCATGATACTTGTAATTAGGAAAAATTAAACATTCTTATTGGTTCAGGAGCAGAATTCTCACCTTCTATTCAGCAGCTTTGGGTCCTAGTATGGCACTGTAGGATAAACACTGGACTGCTAACCATAAGTTTGGCAGCTCAAACACACCAGTTACTCTTGGAAACCCTAACTAAAACTTACAAGAGCAACTCATGCAATCTTCAGCTTTGCAGGGACCAAGGACATGGTGGAGAGCAGCAGAGTGTGGAAAAAGGAACAGTAGCGTGTGGGAAAAGGAGTGGACCCATTTATTCAGAAAGTTTTGCTGCGGACTACCATGTCCCGGGCTTCTGGTGTGGTGCTGTAGAATCAGCACTCAACTGTGAACCACAAGGTCAGCAGTTCACACCCACCAGCTGCTCCTTGGAGATCCTATACAGGGTCACTATGAGTTAGAACAGACTCAACAGCACTTAACAATGACAATAAACAAGTCCCAGGCACTGTCCTAGGTGCTGGCATTTGGCAGAAAACAATCGACCTACAATATGAAGCTAACATTGTAGTGGGTGGTAGAATGGAGGTGGAACAGATGGTAAGCACATAAATACCTTTGTGTCGAGTAATACTTTGAAGAAAACAAAACAGTAATAGGATTGAAAACAACTGGGGACAAGGACTCTGGGGGTTGATGGCTGTCAGGAAAAGCTTTGTGAACGTGACATGGAACTGAGACTTGTATCATGAGCAGAAGGAAGCCCGGAAATATCCAGGGAAGAGGGTTCTGCTGAAAAGCAGCTGAGACAGAACTAAGCTTGTCTGGAAGCGAAAGACCAAAAGGAGGTCAGCATGGCTGAGGCAGCCTGCGGGAGGAGGATGGAGGCAGAAGAGGAGATCAGAGAGATGGGCTGGGCCCGATCACACAGATAAGACTTGTGGGATAAGCACACGGACCATTCTGCTTGTTCTCTTTGAGCTTCAGAAAGCACACTCGTTGGGACAGTGCCAGTTTCAAATATTGTTTCCTCTTACTCCATCGGTAAACTTCTACGGGTCTGAACACAGAGTCCAGTATTTGCAAACTAAGATCATTGTACTCGGGATGCTTTTGACTAAAGAGTAGGCTGAGCACCTTAAGAGGAGGTTTTTTCAAATCAGCAGAACAGAGAGTGGATGCAAGGTGAGTAGTGAAGAAGAGGAAATGGAGTGATGTTGGGTTGTTGTTGTTATTAGGTGCCCTTGACTCAGTTCCGATTCATAGTGACCCCCATGCACAGCAGAGCCATGTGTGCTATGTTTGAGCCCACTGCTGCTCTGCTACCACTGTGTCCAACCATCTCATTGAGAGTCTTCCTCGTTTACAAGGACTCTCCACTGAATACAACATGATGTCCTTCTCCAGGGAGTGGTCCTTCCTGACAACATGTCCAAAATCTCACCATCCTTGTTTCCAAAGAGCATTCTGGCGGTATTTGGGTATAAATCTGAGAACAACATTAGAGAAATGCAGAAGAGGGAGTTGAAATGCAGAACTCCTAAGGTGATATCTGTCTGTGTAGACACCTATTGACTAAACCCAACAAGCTCTGGCAGTACAATGATTAAGAACTTGGCTGTGAACTGAAAGGTTGGCAGTTCAAATCCACATAGTCCTCTACAGAAGAAAGCCTGCATGCATATTTCAGTATGGGAAACTCTATGGGGCTGTTCTACTCTGTCCTATAGGAGTCAACAACAGGTTAGTCAGTCTTGTAAAGAACTAAAGTAGGTGCTGCAAGCAAGTGCACCCAGGGATGCAAAGAAGACTGAGACGGGAAGACAGATCAATCTACAAAATGTGTGCTGAGTCAGAAAGGAGTATGGGAGAAAGCAGCCACCCTCCTTATTCAAAACCATCAGGGTGCAGGGTGGCTGCTTGGTTCTTATTTGAAAGATGAAGCATGAGACAGAGGGTTTAGCGCGTGACTAGAAGGCTGAGCAGATGTGATCTTCTCTGGTGTGCCCCAGTTGGCCAACAGGTCCATCATCAAGTTTTAAGAGGTTGGGAAACACTCTATTGTCCCTCCCAGGGTGGGTCCTCAGTGAACTAGATAGACCATTAGCTAGACCGTCTGCCAGGCAGTCACTCAGGGAAAGGAACTTACTAGATGGCTCACTGTGGTTGGAATTTTTTTTTTTTTTTTAAATGTTTTATTGTGAATTATATGATAGTTTACATGGGAGGACTTTAGCTTTACATTCATTCCATGGTATATCATCTCACTGCCATGGTTCCAATCCCCTCTACGCATCATCAACCACCCAAAGGGTATATCCCAGAAACCCGTCC